AAAAAAAAAACACTGGGTGGATCTTTATCATTATAGGGTGGTTGTGTACACACACTGCCAACACACATTTCAGTTCAAACAACTTGTAAAAGTGCATGTAGCATCCTACGACCCCTTTAAAAGTTTTAAAGCACTTTTTTAGCAGCTTTGGGGGAATTTATTTATTTTATTTTTAATTAATTAATTAATCTATTTATTTATTTATTTATCTTTTTTGAAAGTTAATTACTATTGTTAATAGTAGAGGACAATATATAATGGGAGAATAGGAAAAAAGAAAAAGCAATGGCACAAGTCGATTATTGACATTGCTAATATGAGCACCATGTCTTAATGTATTAAAGCATGTGCTCTAACTGCTAGGCTATGGCTCTAATATCATTAATTTGTGAATGGTGTTCACATTTATAGATGATTTTTTAAATATATATCATTAAATGTGCATGTACAGTGACCCTTTCCACACTGCTCCATTTTGTCACAAAGAGTTGGAGGCACTTTCACTGGCATTTTAGCTTGTTTAGATTTGCACCATGGTGGTCCCTGTCAAAATCAGCCTCCGGAGCAAATCCGATCACATGTCCCTCCCACACCGCGCACCTGCGTCTGATCAAGACATTATACACCACAACGTCACCGAAACTCTCTGACAGGAAATAAACAGCTTAGGGGTACCGGAGTTATGGAGAAACTATACGACGGCTGATATAAACAATGGTGCGCTGCGAGAGTTTTGGACAGCAGTAGATTAGAATTGGGTCAGTGATAGTAACACAGGATCCCCTGGTGAAAGTGGTACTGGAGTCCACAAGCCTCTTGAGTCTCTGCAAATCTCTGTCCTGAATATGACGACCAGGGCAGATAGAGGAACGGTAGCATGTGCATGCGGCACATTACGGGCACAATATCTAAAACCTTATCCAATGTTACAGCTGGTGATAACAGTTTACTCTTTATTCGTGTTATTGCTGTGTTATTTTGGCAACATTTTAGTATAGGGACCAATTCTCATTATTAACTCATTAGCATGCTGATTATTAACATATTGGCTGTTTATTAGTACTTATAAAGCACATATTCTGCATGACCATTTTCTACATCTCTAACCTAAACTTACCAACTACCTTCCTAACTATTAATAAGCAGCAAATTAGGAGTTTATTGAGGCAAAAGTTGTAGTTAATGGTTTGTTAATAGCGAGAACTGGACCTTAAAATAAAGTGTGACCGTTATTTGTATACATTTTAAATGGGCCAAAATATGTGTAATGTTATACACTGACACAACATAAACTTATCATTTCTTCAAAAGGAGTGTGTTCTAAAATGCATGGCGCAACACTTCATTTTTTTATGTATCTATATCTATTAATTTGTTCCAAATCACATTCAAATTCAATTCAAACATACAATGACATGACACCTCTTTTATGATGAGCATGGTTAATTCCTGTGTTAAAATTTATTTTGGTACTTTTTGGGGGAGGCATAAAGTTGATAAAAAAAATAAATTAAAAAAACCGTCAGCGTGATACAACTGTCCAAATATTATACAGAAGAAAAAAAAAAGGATCATTCTTGAGAAGAAAATGTAATTCTTACTTAATTACATACATTAGTTCTTAGTTTAATTAATTAATTCTTAGGTTTTTAAGTTCTTAGTTTAATTAATTAATTCTTAGGTTTTTTCTCTTTTTAGGTTTTTTTTCCCCCATGTGGTGTGATCAAAATGTAGAATAGAATAAAAACAAAACAGGAAATAATATTGTAGAGAAGATATGTCAGTGTTAATACGTTTTTAAAAATATCAGAACATTTGACAAAACAAAGTCAGTTCAGGTACTAAATTGTCATGTGGTGCAATGCCCCAGAAATTAGTGATATTTATGATATATATTAATAATTAATTATATTTGTTAAAAACTTTTTAAAAAACAGAAAAATATATATTTTTTATAAATAATAATAGGTAATTAATATGTGTGCACATGTATTCAAGGTGTAAGGAAAACATGTTAATTTTTACTTGATGGTTACACCACATGACATAAACTTTTATTTTAAAAATGACGTAAAAGTTTTTCAAAACCATATGAAACAAACAAAAATACAAAGAGTACATTTTTAACATTTGGTGCATGTTTTAAACTAGATTTGTAAGACTTTTCCTTGGTTTTTACATGGACACTCTCACTGACCCATATACAAACCATGTGTCTTCATGCATTTTTCTGCACAATCTTTCACATGCGCAAATGCATGCCAACCCTGAATTACCAGCACACACATATAAGACATCAACCAATGAATATACTGTAACAGAGTATATGATGCTACAAACAGGACAAGGAAAGAGAAACATGAAAGAGTGTGCAGGAAAAAGGAAGAAATGTTGGCAAGACGAGTGTGAACCAGAGAATCTGTGGCAGGTTTGGTTTTCTTAGACCTCTCACCTTGCGTGCTACCACGTTGTTGCCTCAGTAACGTGGAGGAATTTCTGACGGGGAAAAAACAAAAGGCCCGCTCTCAGAAAAAAAGAAAAAAGCGACTGAAAGGCTGAGAAAAAAAGCGAAGAGGGAAAAAGCAAAGCACTGGTCAAACAGAACCATATGGGAGAGTGTGGGGCTGGCTTTGATCTTGGCCCACCGCCTGATTGATGCTGCGCATTTCATTTCCTCGTCAAGGCCGTGACATAATGTTTCACTAACACTCGAGACCCCTCGCTCTCCTCCTCCAGCGCTCTTCTCTTTCCTCATCTCGATCCCCTCGTGCCTCTCATTCACCCTGTTGCCACCTCACCGTCGAACGTTCGGGGACGAAAAAGTTCGTGCCTCGCTAAACAACACGTCCGTCAACACGGCAAAACATTCCGGGCTTTGAAAGGACCATCAAACGCGACATGAGAGAAAGATGTGGTCGATACACGACCTGGGATGAGTCTTTCCATATCTGAAGGTGGACATCTGCGAGGCTTGTTTGATACGGCTGCGATGACCTCACTGTTGCTAGCGTGTGGAAAAAGCCGTGTCATAGATGAAAGACCATTGCAATCTGTGTTTGTGAGTTTGTTGCTACTACAATGACAATGCAGACATAACAAACGTCCTTGTTAAGCCTCTATAAATTAACGCTGGTATTAGAACATAATGGGATCAGATGAAAGTGCCAAACACTTGCAATGGCTTCGAAAATATCATTGTAGAGCCTTTGGCTGCATCGGATTTTTTTCATTTTGAACATTGATCTCCTAGCTGCGAGTTGCGAAAAACTATCAAAACTAGAGATGTTTTTGAAGATACCTTGGAAGGTGTCCAAGATATCCAAAAATGTTTCGAGAGATTTGACTGACAACTCTCGGAGGGATTGGCATGGTAATGTACATGACAATTTTATTGTGTTTGGTCTTGGCGGAATAGATCTGCTACGCTGCTGCTGCAAGTACAGAGACTTGCTACTGCCAACACATCCACAACATGCTGCTGTGAGCATGTAGGAAATACTGCTGTTGCACATAAAACATATATGAAATAACCCCCGTATAGCATACATGAATCACCCCATACCAGATCTATACAGGTGGAGCTGGGGAAGGTGGAGGGTTTCTGAAGAGCGCTGCAACTGCTGCAGCAAGGACTAGCTGAGTATTTAAATGTTGAGCAGCAAGCTCATTGGCTGCTGATACGAAAAGAACCAGTCAGCTGCACTATATGATAATGATGTCATTATGTCAGATTGAGTTTGACCTATTGGACAGAGTTTCATGCCAGAACTTTGGATTTTGGGGACCAATTCTCACTATTAACTAGGACTTTTACCTCAATAAACTCCTAATTTACTGCTTATTAATAGTTAGTGAGGAAGTTGTTAAGTTTAGATACTGGGTGAATTAAGGTAGGGTGACCATAAGTCCTCTTTTCCCCGGACATGTCCTCTTTTTGGACCTAAAAAAATGCGTCCGGTCGGGATTTCTAAACCGCCCAAAATGTCCGGGATTCGGCTTTTGCTTTCTACAATCGCCATTCATTGTGTGCGTTTTTTGTGTTAAAGCCCTGCGCGGGACTGTTTTCTTAATCCCACTCCCGCTGAATTTCTGGTCTGCTCCCGCAAACATTCTAATATTGAATGTAATTTTCGCGCATCAGGGAGCCGCTATCAATATGCTGAGTATTTAAATCACTTTGGATGAAGCTCGTGTTGGATGCAGGGTTGCCAAATCCGCATTTTTTTTGCACGGAATTGGGATTATTTTAAACAGTGGGTTAATTTTCATAAGTTACATTTGACTGAAATGCTTGTATTGAAACATTTTGCATTCTACCTATGATAAAACTGGTAGATGTTAAAGGGGTCATATGACGTTGCTACAGTGGTGGGCCGTCAGGGCCAGCAAAGCCTTCTCTGCTGGCCTAAACACTATCAGAATTACTGATTTAGTTTAATATATTTTTCCATGAATGTGTATTAAATTATTTCCAATAGTCTATCTGGAACTGTCCCACTTTATAGAAACAGCCTTTGTGCACTGACTCATTGTAGGCTACTCTGCAGGTTCAGGAAACAGTCCTCATCCTCCATAAAATGTGCTGCATTTGGGTTGAACTGTTCTGGAACAGTGTTGTAAATACAACTTAACCACTGATTTCTAGTTGTGTCCTCTTTTGGAAGACCAAACAAAGTAGTTTCGCTTTCACAACTCGGCTTCGGCCTAGAATTTTCATTTCAGTGCATCCCTAGTGGTGTTATGCAAATCTTCCTACACAGTGACGTAGACATGTGGGGGCGTGTTTAAATGAGGCGCTTTAGAAGTCTTAACTTTTATAAAGAATATCTCTTTGGGTTTGAGACTTTAGTCTTTGCAACTTTAGGTATCTTATCTATTCACGAACAGCTTGTAACACTCCAAAGAGAAAGGACATATGACCCCTTTAAGTCTTGTAAAGGATGACCACTGGTAGGAAGCCTTTTAGCTGTGTTTAAGATCAATCTGCATAACAGTGACTTTAGGAATGGAAATGACATGTTTTGAATTTTGATATTTGGGATATGGCCATTGCGCTGCTTTGGGGGGTACTTAACCCCCCTCAAACCCAACAAGCCACCCCCTCCCCTCCCCCGTCTGCATCCTTTTTTTTTTAAACTAAAATATGGTCACCCTAATTAAGGGATCTAAAATATGGCCAGAATAAGGCATTAATATGTCCTTTATGAGTACCAATAAACAGCCAATATGCTAGAAACAGGCATGCTAATAAGCAACTAGTTAATAGCAAGAATTGGTGCCTAAAGTGCTAAAGTGCAGAGTATAAGCAGATGAATTGGAGCATTATGTTTTCAATCAAAGTTACAAATGTGTTTTTCTTACACAATCCCAAAATGAAGGTAGTGACAATCTGTTGTCCTTCTTCTTGTCTTCCCTCAAGACTGACCTTCACTCACCTCTCTCCTCCACCTCCACACATCTGGGAGCTATTTCCTCCCCAAAGGACTCACTTCCTGTGGGCAGCCGCTTAA